ATAAGTATCTCTGAACCATAAGTTATAGGTTTTTACGGGTTTTTAATAGTATTGCCACGTTAGCATGTAAGCTAAGCCACCTAACCTGCCAAACGTACAAAAATATCACAACTGAGTATCTGAGATGTTATGAAAATGCATTATTCAGTGCTATATCAGATTCATTTCAGCTTTAGTTCATTAAAAAAAAATCTTATTTCCACAGGATGAATCGCGTACAAGTGGATTTTAAAGGGTTGCCAGCCCACATCTTGGAGAAGTGTGTTAGAGCAGAAACCCTTCAAAACCTCAGGTAACTACATCAGGGTTCGCATGCATTGTTGTTTTTGTTGTTGATGCTGCTGTTCAATAAAAAAGTAATATTTTTTTCACGTTTTTAAGGTCTTCGGACAATGTCCTTACTCCACTGACATTCCCAAAATCTAAAGTCTCTCTCTGGGATCCATCTCCCAGTGGTGATGTTGTCAGTCTGCATTTCTCATATTACAGGTAAGTCTTTGTGTCATCTGTATTTTTGGATGAACCATATTTTTAATAAAAGTGAATGTCACTATCAACGGGGGGGACGCATTTTTAAAGCCCTGCAAACCAGCCGATTATAGTATTATTATTATTAATTTACTATTATAGTATTAATTAATAATTTAATTTGTTTTCATTTTAGTTATTCTGTGTGTTTGTCATTTGTCATTTTTTATATTTCTATTTAGCTTTAATACATTTTTATTTCAGTTAGTCATTTTAGTACTTATGTCACCATCAATGTCATGTGATTACTGTCTGGGGGAAAAAAACACAATCTTGATTGATTTCATGTACTAGAGGATGATGATGGTGAAATAAATTTTGCATTTAGCCTTATTGCTTCCTATAGTGATTCATATCACTGTGCTTTTATAATTAACATTAAATAAATTTTTGGAGCATTTGCTCGCAGCCATTTTGGCAGCACATTTTCAGTCTTGCAAGTTAATTATTAAAGTAATTTTAGTACTTCAACTTGTTGTGGAGGCAACATTTCTATTTTTTTATAATTGTCATCTATTTTATTTGACTTTTATTATGCCACAGTCGACCGCTTCCGCTCCTTCCGGTCGTGAGTATGTGGGGTAAAGCAGCGCTGTTTTATCATACTAGATACATTGGAAAGTTCTGTTATTATGCTACTCTGTGCGGTCGTCACCGTATGTTAAAACGCACAACATATTAAAGCGTCTTTGGTGTTTCCATGTTTTCTACAAAACAAAAAATGGAAATCGAGGGGTTATGACGTCATTGGCAGGCGACACAATGACACTATGGACACGGTCCGTGTCACTAGTTAAAATTGCTTATTTCTCTGGATTTA